AGTGCAAGCTTTTCCTAGACTAAAGGCTGGAGAATGTGGAAGCATTGTTCCTCCATGCTAGCAAGCAGCTGTTATTAACAATGAAAGCAAAAGATAAATATTGACTAAACTAAAAAGACTCCTTTACAGAAATTTACCCAGTCACTGTCAAAACAATCATAGCTACTCCCTTCTACTCTATAAAATACTGTGCTATAGGTTTCTTTTAGTAGGGCAGTTGACAGATGGCCAAGCATGTGGATTTCTTTTACCCTCTACTTCTTATACACTATACCACTGCAGTCCATGGGGTCGCAAAGGGTTGGACACAACTGAGCGACTGAACTGAACTGAACTACTTCTGGAATCAAGCAAAAGAGAGACAAACAGAGCAATTTCTAGTGAACACAAGGATGTCCTGGGATAAGCAGCTCCCTAGTCAACAAAGTACTGCATCTGTTATATAAGGCAATGTGGAAGACCCTGAAGAATGGGCCAATCCTCTGGCTTACTTATAAATATAATTTAGGAAGTGGTCAGTGCAATTTCAACCTCTGTGATATTTTAAAAGTAGAACTGATACATCATAAGACTTGGATAAACCAAAGCTTCAGAAATTCTAAGTGGTTTTATCAATATACCCTGAAGAATGTTTTAGATCTTTCAAGAAAAAATATCAAGTACTCTATACCAAAAAAAAATTTGTCCTTCATCATTTTTTTAAGTTGGATGATACTTATGAGTCATTATTTCTTTATTTTGTTTTTAAATCACTAGCTTTCTACTTTCTCTCCTATAGGATCTCATTTAAGGTCTCAGTTTTTACAAGTATTAACTATAGCACAAAAATTATTTTAGATTTTCCTATTGGTAAGAGCAAAGAAAGTACTTGGGGAGGTATTTCAAGTAAAATGAAAAACTGAGTTTACTAAGTAGCTTCTCTTGAAGGTTAAGCAGTTCATAAAATACTGCTTTTTCTGTTTTCTTCTTTCCTAAGCCCCTTTTTTTTCTCTAAAAAGAAAACACTTCTAGTTTTTCCTAATGTCTAAAAGATTAAAGAACAATAGCTATATTCTAATTTAAAGAAATTATTTTTATAGTTAAAAATTTCAAAATGGCAACTAGTTTACTGTCACTCAAACTAATAATGCCTGTCTATTTGCTAAAGAATCAAAGACAACATATACACAGAAATGTACTGCCCAAAGCAATAATTACATTGAAGGCCTTGGAAATATCTTGTTTTGTTTAAATCTAAAGTTCCACCTAAAAGTCCTTAAAAACCTACTTTCTTTCAGGTACCTACCCTCTACCCATAAGGGTACGGCTCCCTACAGCCCAAAATATATGGATGAAGAGCTTGAAAAAATACTGAAATTTAAATAAGGAAAGCTAACCTAATAATGTTTCGGACACAGATTCAGTCAGTAAGCACTTTGGATGGAAGCCTTCCATGAGACATTGCATGCCTGTAATGAACTCGCCACATAGTTCCTAAACTTTATCTTCCTAACTACATATTTTGATTTTACTAGCCAAAAATGTATCTAAATCTTGCTATTGCATTTATGCTCTTGACCTTTACAACTTCTTGGAGTAAATAATGTGCACTCTCTACCTATTAGAATCACATGTAATGATTGTAATTCCTTTTATTTGTCTAAAAATGATCTTATCTTTTATCTTAAAACTAAAAAGAGGAATTTCCTACTTCTACCATTTGGGTATTTGGCTATATAGTATATTTGTATCCATCCTACTCAATGGCCCTCATTACTTTATTTTATAGACTTTGAATCACCAATAACAATTTGAAATGCTTTCCCATAACAGACTGAGTCAACTAAATAAGGAAAATAAAAATCCAATCTCGAGAAGTGTAAAATAACAGCAAATAGGCTATAGGACCATTCTAGGGCAAAGAATATAGCACAGTTATTCTGGAAAATTGCAACTGAGGAGTTTGGAACTTTATTAGGAAATCCTTGTGTTTAAAAACTATACCCAAATATATCACACTTCTTGCTCTTTTATTCTTCGTCAAGAAGTATTCTGATGGATTTCTAATTGACTGAGCTTTCAGCTCATTAGTGATAGCCTAATAAATAAAAGCGTGTATCCCTCCTTTTCTCTCTCCCCCACCTCTTGTTCCCTCCCTCTCTGTATTCTGCTACTTTTTACATCTCTCTTTTGCCCCTTGAGTGTGTGAAAGAATGTATTTCCTCCGCATCTATCTTTGTGTCTAAGTGGATACCTGTCTGTATTTTATCTGTGTGCATCTCTACATATGTTTCTACTCCATCTGATTCTCACTAAAAGATCTGATCTTTTCATAAGAAGAAAATGAGGTTGTGTCAGAAAGAGAAGAATTTCATGGAGTACAGGTAAATAGCCAGTCCCAAACCATCTTCCTTCAATTCTTAAATATATTGGGAGTACTGCTCCCTTTTTTTCCACTAAAGCTCTGCCAATACATCACTTTCAATGTTGTTAAGTTATTGAGTAATGAAATCTTTACTGTGACAAACTCAATCCATCTGTGAGAACCCTGACAGGTATTTTCTGTTAATCTCAATTAAGCAATTTCTCAGAATGAATTTTTTGATTTCTCTGCCAAATCATATAGAAGTGACAACAATTGTGGGATATTCCCACAAAATATAACACTGTAATTCTCAATTTTTGAGGTACTTCCTGTGTAAGTGGCACTGAGACATTCCAGTACTGATTACATACACAAGGACATACACTTACCTAAAATATCTAACACATTTCAACCAAAGCTGAGAAGTTTTGAGTAGCTGTATTGTAAGTTAGCCACAAGCAATTAGAGGTGATATTTAAAATGTGAAAACAGATGAATTTTCATTTGTACTTGGTGCTGTGCATGGAAAGAAACATTAAACCAGTGAAGCAATTATAACATGAAGTGTAAAAAAGATAAAACGTTCATTAATTTGGATAGTGGATTTAAAATGGAGGCAATAGAAGCAGCTATTTCTAAGCCACATAAAGTAAGTCATAGTTTCATGGTATATCAGAAATAAAAGATATTCTGCAAACTGACTCATAGTTTCAGTCTGTATAAGAAGTTTCATCCAAAGATGCTATATGAGTAAACTTCAGTCATTTCTCATCTACTTTCTAGTTACCATGGGGAGAAATAGAGAACCCTCCAAATTTTAAGGCCTTCTCTTAAAAGTCCTCTTGCAGACCAAATTGCATGGAGTTGAAATAACCCAAGAGGATGAGAAAGCTGAAAAAAGGGGCTTTTTCTTAAAAGCTATATCTTAAATAGCTAATTGCAATAAACTTTAAATTTCCAAAACTAGTTGTTTTAACAGTAATATCTCTTTGTATTCCAGGTTTCTATACAATATTAATATAGGAAATAATGTATAAACATATAAATTGTCTACCATAATGAGTTCATATTTTATATTATCATAAAAAATTAAACACACATTTGAAATCACATTGGAATGGCTAAAAATATAGTTATTTTTTAAAACTAGACCAGGCCTATTAGTCATTTTTTCCAACCCCAAAAAGTCAGTTCAAGATTTGAAACAGGCATTGATAAAATAGGAAGAAACAAAGTCAAAAGTCACAAATTAAAGCCTAATACCATGTCAAAGACTGATGGAAAGTACCTTGGGACACTTACATTACAGTTCCAAAATCAAGGGAAATATTTGCAAACCTAGTTTTAGAAGAGATTAAATCCTAAAAATTAACACAACCTAATCTACCAATTCAGGAAAAGCACAATTGTGCCTCTCTCTGTCTTGCGCACTAAGCAGGGAGCTTTTTGAAAGCAGAAGTGTCTTAATCATTTTTATCCAAAGGACCCCACAGAGTGTCTCTTGTATAAGGCATCCAAATAAATATTGTTTAGTTGAATGAATGAATGAATGATTAAACAATGATTATGGAACTGCATAGAGCATTTCCACTGCTTTAGTCCAAGATCTACTGTAATTAATATGCAGAAATGTCTTTCTCATAATTCTCCAAGCAAAGGATCTCAAAATAAAATAACTGGCTTCTGAAGGAAAAAAGGAGCAACTTTAAAGCATATTTTACATATCTTGCTTGTAAAATTAAAAATTATATAAAAGATTTGAAAACAAGTAGAAGATGTATACTTCAGTAAAATGCAAAGTTTACAAGGTCCTAAAAGGTGAAATATATAACCATCCCCATTCAGATATCTTAGAGGAAATGAATGCACAAATGGACAGAAATTTAAAGTCACTTTAAGGCAAGAAAACCCTAGTCTCAGTAGCAAGGTAGGACGGCATTTTTTAAATTGTTTCTTTAGTTACTTTAAAAGCACAGTAGCTATTGCTTCCCCTCTACCTTTCTCCTGTTTAAGTCAAATCAAATATATCATACAGATCAACATAGACCAATGCCTCAGAAAAGAGAAACCAAATTTGACCAAAATAATCGCCTTTCCTTTTTTCCAGAACGGACTCTTTCTTAGGTTCAACTCCAACCAGCCTCCCAAACTCTAGGCTCCTTTCAACGGTACCCATTGGGCCTGAAAGCCATTCCAGAGACTTAAATCTTAAGGAGCCACTTTCACAGCCATTCCCAACTTAAGGGAAGCCCTTCCACCAAGATTAAAAATTTAATCAGTCTCTGCAGTCTACTTGATTCAGGAAAAAAAAAATGTGGTGGAAAGATGAACCAGAAAGACATCCCTCAACAAACTCAACTCTATTCTCCAGCTGTACCTCCTCCCTACCCGCTGCTCCCCTTCGACTTCCTCTGCTCCGGGCTCTGGACAGGTGGGAGCGGGGTGAGTACTTTTTGGGGAGGGGCTGCAACAAACTTTCTTCCTGCCACCTCTTTCCCACCCCCACCTCACATCAGGTCCAGCTGGTAACTGAAGCCACTGGGAAGGGCTGTCCGTATCCCCCTCCCCCCTTGGGAGAGGGATGAGATGAGGTGGATGGGGGGCGTGGGTGGGCAGGATGCAGGTGGAGGGGTCTTCTGACTGTAACTCTTCTTACCACTGGAGCGCCTGACGATGTTTTCCAGAAACGTGTTCTGCGGTGCCACCAGCCCTCTCTTGCCCCCCGGCATCCTGGGTCTAAAGAGCAGCGGCCAGGATCCGCGGCGGGGGAGGGGGGGTTGCAGGAAGAGAAGGTGGAGCAAGAGGAGGAAAAGGTGGAAGAGAAGATCGAGCCGAAAGAAGAGGGGGCGCGGCGGCGGCGGCGGGGTCCCCTGACTGTGTCTCCAGCCCGACCCGGATGAGCAGCTCTGGGGAGAAGGACCAGGCAGTTCATGGTAGTAGCACTCCCCCGGCCGCCGCTGCCCAGACTGTGGCGGTGCCGCGCACGGGGCTCGGGAACTGCAGGCTCCGCGGGGCACAATGCGCCTGCGCCGCCCCCGCTGTCGCTGTCCCGCCGGTGCTGATGCTGAAGCTGCCGCTGAAGCTGTTGTCGCGGCGGCGGTCACCTAGGCGCGGGCTCAGCATTTCTCCCCCTGCCCCGACCACCCGGGCCGAGGGAGCAGGAAAAGCCCACTCAAAGCCCTCTCTGCCAGAGCCTTTACTGCCCCTTCCTCTCTCCCTTCGCTAGCCCACCCCTCTGGCGCGGTTGGGTCAGGGCTGCCCGGCTGAGCCCAACTTCTGCCCGGCGGTGCGCCCGGTAGCCGCTCCTCTCTCCCCGGAGATCGAGGCTAACGCTCGCTGTCCAGTGGGGCCCTGGAGAGGGCGAGGAAGTGGGGAGAGGCAGGCAGGATGCCAAAGAGGACAATGGGCAGTCGGAGGGGGTCACATCTCGGTTTCTCCTGCCAAGGTCCCGAGTCCCGACTGCTCCCGAGAACGCGGCTGCCGGGGCGGAGGTGTTGATCGTCTCCCGCTCCAGCCCGGGCTGAGAGCGGAAAGGGGACTGACTGGGCGGCGCGCGGGGACGCAGAGCAGCCACCTGACGCTGCTACCGCCCCCCTCTGGGCTTGGGCGCCTGAAGCTCAGCAGAGGAGCTCTCCTCACCCGCCCTGGCCCACGCCTTGAGCCACAGCCAGATAAGGTCCGAGCGCAGAGCTGGGGGCGCAGAAATGGCCCCTGCACCCCAGGCTGAGTCTGGCGCGCGGTGGGGCGCGGCGACTACACTGGGATGCTTCCCAGGGCTGCGGAGCGCAGAGGCGAGCGGCGAGCCCCGCCGCTGCTAAGTTGCGGGAAGGGTTGCACTTAGTGAAATGAGTAGGGGAAGAGGGTGACTAATTCACCCGCCGAGAGAAGAGTGCAGCGAGCAGCGTTTGCGGTGGAAAAACAGTGACGGCGGTGGGCGCGAAGCTACCCAGGTCCGGAGACTGCGAGCGGGAATCGTTTCCAACAAAACTCGGAACCCACGACAGGAGGGGAACCGTTAAAAACCGAGCCCACAAGCCCACAGGCTCAGAGTCTGCAACGGAGAAGGGAAAATAGCCTAAGTGCGAAGGGACTGGGGAAACAGAGGGAAAGAAATGAGGGAGCTCAGGACGGCAAGGGTACTTCCTTTTACCTAAGGCCGTGGTTCTAAGTGGTCCCGGACTGGAAGCACCTCCTAAGAATTTGTTTAAAATGCAAATTATTCGGCTCTACCCCAGAGCTCGGAAACCAGGAACTCTGGGAGCTGGGGCTAACAATGCTTTAAGAGGCCCTCCGGATAAATAGTCTTATTGCTCAAGTTTAAGAAGAACTGATCGAAGGCTTTCGCGCCGGAGGCTTCGCCTGGGCCTGTCTAGAAAGGACGACTGCATAAACAGGGTCGAGGAGTGAGGACAGAAATTGCGCTCCGGCTGGGTCAGAGGTTGGTGGCGAGGCAAAGCATAAAGTAGGAAGGCTAAAGGAGAGTTGGATGGGGCCGTCCCCTTTGCTGAGACCTGTGCTAGATAACCCTTGCTAGAAACGGTCAAACTGGGCTATACTCAGAAGCGGTAGGATTCTCCCTGGAAGGGGTCAGAGGAAATAACCTCTGCTCCGCCCCTACTCTGGGCAAGGGGATTGGGAGGTGGGGGTGGTGTCTCGACTTCCTTTGGAGACCCCTAGATTACCAGTCACTTGTCTCAAGTTACTGTCCCCCTCTCCAGAGCAGTCTGTGTAAGGGCCGTAGCCTGTAGCCAAAGCGAGTGAAGTGAAGTTGCTCAGTCGTGTCCGACTCTTTGCTACCCCATGGACTGTGGCCTACCAGGCTCCCCTGTCCATGGGATTTTCCAGGAGAGAGTACCGGAGTGGGTTGCCATTTCCTTCTCCAGGGGATCTTCCTGACCCAGGGATTGAACCTGGGTCTCCCACACTGCAGGCAGATGCTTTACCCTCTGAGCCAGGAGGGAAGCTAGCCTGTAGCCAAGAGACACATAAATGCACAGCCAATATCCAGGCTTTAGTTTAGGGTCATTTTCTCCCTCTCCTCTGAAATTTCCACTGGTTCCTCCAGAGACTGAGCAAACTAGCAGGTTGATGCACTGTAACAAGCAGTTTGCTCTGCTCAGATTCTTTCCACACAAAATCAAGACTGTGAATAACACTAGCCTAGCCTTGCTTTCCAGGCTTCCTCCGGTGGCTCAGGGGTAAAGAATCCGCCTACAATGCAGGAACCACAAGAGACACAGGTTCTATCCCTAGGTGGGGATGATCCCCTAGAAGAAGGCATGGCAATCCTCTCCAGTATTCTTGCCTCAAGAGTCCCATGGACAGAGGAGCCTGGTGGGCTACAATCCATAAGATCTCAAAGAGTCAGACGTGACTGAAGCAGCTTAGTACACTGGCAGGCAGCCTTGATTTCTACCCCAAGCACTCCTGGTGGTGCCAGTTCATTTTCCTACAACTAGAATGTCTTATAAACGCATAGGGGTGTTTTTTAGTATAAATGCATTGGGGTGTCTTCAGTTAAATAACAAGGAGCTCAGGTTCAGATTGGATCCTGGTGATTAGCCTGCCAGGGCAGGAGTCGGAGATGTGGCTGAGGTTACAGCTCTCTTTCTGAAGTTTCCTGTGTGTGATTTAAAAGGAAAGTGAAAGTCAAAATCTCTCAGTTGTGTCCAACTCTCTGGGACCCCATAGACTGTAGCCCTCCAGGCTCCATGGAATTCTCCAGGCAAGAATACTGGAGTCGGTAGGCACTATCTTCTCCAGGGGATCTTCCCAACCCCAGGGTCAAACCCAGGTCTCCTGCATTGCAGGCAGATTCTTTCCCATCTGAGGCATCAGGGAAGTCTGTATAAGCAGAAGAAGAACTGGAAGCCTGGGCTTAGACACACAGTTGGATTTTGCCCCTCTTCTTCTGTGAATTCTGCTGTGATTCTTCTGTGACCTCTGCTTATGGCTACTAGGCTACTCTACAGACCATGACTAATCAGCCATTCACAGTCTGAGGTACTGAGGTAATGAACAAGCAGGCTAATTTCATATATATAATAGAAACTATATAAATATCTATAAAATACATACATAATATCAATATATTTCATAGATTGTGATCCTAGACTTCTAACATATGATAAATCTATCATCAACATTTACAGGAAATATCTCAAATCTATATGTTCTTTTGCACATCGTCAGCTGCCCACATCTCACCTCTGGGTATTGATATAAATCTCAGCTTGCCAGCATTTCCCATCTAGTATAAATATCCCTGTTCCTAATCACTCCTCTGTGGGTGTATTAGCTCACACTTCCCAAAGAGGAAAGTCCTTTGGACTCCATTAAGACACAGTTACACAATTACTGGTAGAATTTCCCCATTTATTTCCAGCTGCAGATTTAATTAAAATGACATCCTTTCTTCTTTGTCCTTCATAATATCATAGCATTATCACTTTGCAATTATTTTGATTATTGCAAAAAAACATGATCGTTAAAAAGTGTCAAATCCTTGGTTTACACACATTTCTTAGTCCTCTAGTTTAAATTTTCAATTTACAGAAGAGGAAAACAAGGCCTGGAGAGATAAGGTGCCTAATCTAAGATGCCACAGTGCTTTAGATGCTACATTGTGACTAGAATCGAGCCTTCTAAACCTGTAGTGAGAGCTTCTTGTAAATAGAAAATAACCTGATGTTGGTATAGTGTGGTAATGATCAGCAACATCTGATGATCTCTATTGCCATCGCTGGTTTTTCAGAACTAGAGAGAAGAGAAACCCCTGATAATCACTTGCAACAGCTCCTAATCAACACAGAATTAAGGAAAACAGAGCAGCACTGGCACCGTATGGACTGACTGGCTCTAAGGAATGTGCTGGCAGATTGCAGCAGGTGCCGATGCAGCATTTTAAAAGTGGTTTTCAGACAGAGTCCATATGTTGTAACCAAGCCACAGGATATACAGGTGAGACAGACAGGAATCAGCAAGCTTTCAATGTCACACAAAGGGCATTTCACTGCAAAGATTACATTTTAAAGCAGAATCATTGTCCTTTCCTTCTGTCTTCGGGTATTAGAGTGGTGTTGTCTGTGAGAGCCAAGAGTTCCAATACCCAGAGGTGTTCACCAACTCCTAAGTCACAGCTATGAAATGAAGGGAAAGCTAGCTGAGCTGCAGGTGTGTTTCAGTTTAACAGCGACCAGTACAAAAGTGAAGAGTTAGAAAATGATATATTAGGAAGCAATGGTTTGTAATTACTATAGGTTTGCTGAAGGATTCTTTTATCCCTCCTTTGAGGATTTAAAATATAGTTTATTTGACAATAGCTGTAATTATGTGTAAACTCTCAGAAATATATTAAAAATAGGTCCAGTCTAACACTGTTTGATCTTTTATTTGAAAATGGCCCACCTACTACTCTCTCTGGGGATGGTTTTTCTCTCCATCCCTGCTGTTTCTGGGCAGAGGTATAAGATACAACCTGTAGATGCTAAATGGATGGTTCTGATGGATAACCTCAGATATGCAGATGATACCACCCTTATGGCAGAAAGTGAAGAGGAACTAAAAAGCCTCTTTATGAAAGTGAAAGAGGAGAGTGAAAAAGTTGCCTTAAAGCTCAACATTGAGAAAACCAAAATCATGGCATCTGGTCCCATCACCTCATGGGAAATAGATAAGGAGACAATGGAAACAGTGGCTGACTTTATTTTTCGGGGCTCCAAAATCACTG